TTCACAGGCCTGTGCTCAATCCAGTGAGCTACACCAGCCAGGGCACAAAGACACATGCAGTTCGATCCTATCTGCATAAAGTTAAATGCAAGCAAAACTAATATGTGGTGTAAGGAGTCAGGACAGTGCTTATACTAGGAGTGAAAAAAATGGAACTAGTGACTAGAAGGGGGCATTAGTGGGTTTTTGCAGTATCTGCAATGCCTTACTTATTAACTTGTGTGGTGGTTAAACAGGTGGTGAATTTATGATCATGTACTGGGCTTTATATTTATGTTTTGTATAGTTTTCAGTGTATGTGTAATGCCACACTGAAAACACATTTAGAAACTTGTGAAAAACAGATTGGTGGCATCTCAGTGAATGGACACAGTGGGATCAGTTAGGAAGCAATGGCAATAGTCCAGGTGGGAGAACATGATTTCTCTATGAACCCTGCTAGTGTGGTGAAGATGGAAAGGAGCCTTATTCGAGAGCTATTGTTTAGGAGGGAAAATATACAGGATTTAGTGGTGAATTAGATATGGAGTGTGAGGAATAAGGAGGTGGCAAGAATGATTCCTAGGAACAATTGATTTAGAAAACAAAGAAGCAATCCTCTGTGAGACGGGACAAAGAGAATCTGTGAGGAATAGGATTCGGTAGCAGAGAGGTAAAGGGCCAGCCAAAGGCCAGCTGTGAGAAAAGAAGGAAGGGTTGGACTTGTTCAGAGAGGAGTGGAAATTTGAGAAAGTAGCTGTGGAGAGTGGGAGAGTAAGTGGTACAGAGAAGTCTTTTGAAGTCAATCACGAATGTATAGTGAACATTTTACCCTGAAGAGTGACTTGCTCCACCCTCACGCAGCCGTTCTTGTCTAGGCATGAAGAGGACTGGTGATTCGGATCACACATGATTGGAGATTTGCCAGCTGGGCGTGATCAGTATAGTTTTGGAGTAATATGATAACTGAAAGTATGTCAGTAAGAGATTGCAATGAATCTATCTCCATTTTCTATCTTCATCATAAAGATGATTTTTAATAAGCACCTGTTTTAGAGTTCCCTGGGAATATAGAAATTCACCTGAGAAGGTAAGAAAGGAGATGAGGGAAAGCAGTATGATGAAGGTCATAAGTCTCCAGAATGACCTTCCTCCTCTTCTCTTTGCCATATTCTCCATTGTCACTGCAAACACAGCCACTTATTACCATTTCTTTTTCCTGTTTATTATCTTTCTCTTCACTGTCTTTTTTAAAAAAGATTTGATTTATTCTTAGAGAGAGAGAAAAGAAGGAAGAAAGGGAGAGAAACGTGATCAGTTGCCTCTCCCACATGCCCTGACCAGGGACTAGACTCATAACCCAGGCATGTGCCCTGACAGGGAATCAAACTGGTGACCTTTTGTTTTGCTGGATGCCGCCCAACCAGCTGACCTACACTGGTCAGGGTACTTCATTGTCCTTTTTCTCCAAACCCTCTCCTTTCCTCGTGTCCTTTTTCCTTTCCCATCATATGGGGCAAAATAAGCATGAAGTGGGCACACTATTATTGTGGATGGGCACTGGCAGATTTGGGACTGGAGAAAGTAAATTGAGAGGAAGCTTAGTGTTTGAGCTTTACTGACATATCAGTTTATACATAATTCCAGGCTTCAGTAAACACTGGGACCCACTGCAAAGATAGCCACACCATCCACTTCAATGAGATGCCAATTAGCATTTGGACACTTGGCAAAACTGCTAAGAAAACAGTATTATCTTTGACATGTGTCTATTTCTCTTTCTTTGAATATTACCTCATTTATTTATTCATTCAGTCATTCAGGCATTTATTCCACAAACATATATTGAGTAAATACTACCTATACATCAGACACTGGGCTAGTTGTCATTTGGCTACTTACACTTGGGGTCTCTCAATCCAAAAGGACCACTCCTCCCCTGAAATTATTCCTCACTCTTCCATGTCCTAATCACAAGCAACCATTTTCTACGGGGTGGTGATTAGATTTTACTTAAATAACTCATACCAACATATGCATAAATGGTAATAACCATAACACATGCCAAGCTCTTTCTTAAGCACTTTATAAATATGAATATATTTAATTCTCACCGCACTCTACGAGGTCAAGACTATTATTATCTCCACTTAAAAAATGAGAAACCCGAGGCATGGAGAGATTAAGTAACATGCTCACCAGGCAGGTGGCAGAGGCACGACTCAACCCAGGAGTCTCTCAGAGCCTGTGTTTTAATCACCACTTGACAGAGCCTCCACCTCGGGCGTGTGGTCAGGAGAGAAGAGCGGCTGCATTCTCACAGGCTCTGCCATGGGCTGGGGTTGAAACTTGCTTTATGCTTTGAAACGATCCTTTTGTTCTTATGGTCAGGAAGGATTCCAGTGGTCATTAGGGTAGGGTTTTCTGTTGGTATTGAATTTTATATAAACATGAAAGAAAGTAAAATTGTACTTATGATTCTCATTTGAGGAAAGATTTTTTTATGGTCATGGGGATTGATAAAATGAAGGTGTAAAATGTATGGATTACTGGGCCTGTTCTAAGTGACTTTGAGAATGTTGAGAATGACTCAGAGAGGCAAGAAGAGGAAAGATAAACACAGACACAAAGCCAAATTCTGTGTGAGTCCACTGGATAAGGTAGCCAGTGTGGTGAAATTCATAGAAACAGAAAGTGGTGGTTTCCGAGGGGCTAAGGAGCGAGGATGAAGGGGAGTTGTTTAATGGGCATGGAGTTTCAGATCTGTAAAGTGGAAAAATCCTGGAGATCTGTTTCACGTCAATGGGAATGTCCTTAACACTTCTCAACTATTATGCTATTTTTGTATTCAACTTCTAAGAAGTTGTGTGTGTGTCTGTATGAATGTGTGTTAGGTTGCAGAAAAATATGTATTTGCTTGGATCTACATTAACCTCATTTCTCTAAACCCCACCTATCTAGATCTTGGAAACTTGTCCCACATTGAGCAACAGGCTAGCCTAACCAAGAGGACTTTGGCACTTGCTTCATGAGTCTTTATCAGTCTCGAATTATCATTCTCTGCATGTTGCAAAAGGTCCCATTATATTATCTTCCCAATAAAGTGTCATCTGATTATGGGACCTTTATTGCCTCATCCCAATGTAAGTCCTGAAATATTTTTCTAGTGTAAACTTTTCTAGATTTATACATTTACATAATATCTAGACCCAAAACATTTTAATTAAGTTTAACATATTCAATATATGAAAATTAAGTATTTGCTGTATAAGCTTGATTCCTATTTTATATGAATTAAACTAACAATAATTAAATGACATTACTAAGCAAATGTTATTTAGTGTTTATTTCATTGCTTCGTTACTGCATATTCTATTTTATAGGTATTAAATTTCATAAAAACACACAAGCTGAATAGTTAATCACCTCATCTCCTACACTGGGTCACAAGTAGTAAGACAGAGTTTATCATTTTAAATGTGTGTTTTGGAAATTTTGTGTATTTACATTTGTTGCTTTTTTTTTTGCTTTTTAGAACTTTCCTACTATAGTTTTCTACATTTTGGATTAACACAAGAGAGATACTTTTCGTTGTACAAAACTGGCTCATTTTACACAATCTGAACTTGAGAAGCTAATGTTGCTCAGGTTTCAACACAACATGCTAATGTATGGGAGCACCTGCTGGTGAAGGATGATATAGTCCTACAGACCAATTTTATGGGACCTTGAAATTTAGACTAAGTTGGAGGGCATGAGAATTATGAAGCCCTCAAGTATATATATAGTCAAGGGAATCTGCTTCCAGAAAATGCTTATTCCTTAAACGTTGCAACAGAGTAGTCTAGGGCAAGAAATGTACGAATTGAGAAGATGCTACAAAACAAATGTCATTTAGATGGGATCACAAGATCTAATAACAATACAGTTGTTTAGTATCGATGTACTAAATGTTTCATGAGGGCTGAGACCAGGTCTGTCTCATTCACTTCTGAGTCCCTAGCACAGTAACTGGTATCTTGAATGTGTCAATAAAAACTTACTGAACCAGCCTGGGCATCTTTTCCTCAAAACATGTGAACATTTGCTTTTTGTTTTCCTCCTATAGGACCACATTCATCATAAAAACAATGTAAAATATAATTTGTGTAATGTCTAAATAAATTTCCTTTTTAGATGAAAATATGTACCTGTTTGGCTAACCAGAAACTTTGAATTAGTTAAAAATATACTTAAACTTTATAGTTAAAAACAGTAACAATGAAACTGACCTAAACTAATTAAAAGGAAGTTGATGGGGAGTTGCATAGGCTTTGTAATCAAATATTACTAGGTTCAAATTTCAGCTCCATAGCTTCGTGGCTGTATGAGGTTGGACGAATTGCTTCCCCTTTCTGTCTTGACTTGCCTCTCATTGTATACGCAATGCTTTGTGCCCACTTGGTGAATAATGGATAGTGGCTACTGACTTTGTCTCAGACAGAGAGCACTCTTTTTCCTACTTTTCAATGCACTGTGAGCCTGGTGGGACAGGGACCATATTTTATTTATTCCTAGGACCCAGCACAGTGACTGGCATAGCTTGGTACTTAATAAATAAGTGTGTGTTGAATTAATAAAGAAAATAAATATTTAAGCATCTCCTTGGTAACTATTGTGCATAGTACTACACAAAGTTTTGCACCATTCAACTTGTAACTGAGATGTATGTAGACAGATGCCCAACAGAATCATTTAAAATACAGAAATAGGGCATTTTCCAGCACTAGAATTCTTTTGATTAAGACATTCACAAGGAATGTTGAGCTCAAGTAACTGCACATTAGATGGAGACTATATTATGATCTATTCACACACAGACACACTCTAGTTTAGCTACATAGTGTTTTTTTTACCATTTTTCTCATTTGCTGTTATTAATGTAACCCCTGCTTGTAAGTGTAGATAACTGGTTTTGAAAATTTCACATTAAAAGCTGTAAAGTCGTATTTGTACTTGCTCATCAGGAAAGGCACCAACAATGAAGAAGAAATTTGCTTTTAATAAAAATATTTTATACATCCACCTGAAAATTCTCATGTGGTAAACAGTACAAGTCCAACTCTAAAACATATTACACATACCTAAATGTGTATCAGCAGAACCGTAAATACCCTGATTCATGTGAAACTACTTTCCACTTTTAAATGAGGACAATTCTTTGCCCACAAAGTATCAAAGGCCTCCTTTTCAATCAGTGGCTTAATAACTATGACCATTTTGTGCATATATCAGAGATGTGTAACATTCTCTGGATTCGGTTACCAATGTGTAAAAAATTTTTCTAGGCTTATGGAATCAAAAAGCTCTTCCAAAGGGATTTAAATAGGCTAAGCCTATTGCCAAATATGAAATTATATTTGGAACCAAAGTCACAAATAAAAACTAGCATGTCCACTTCTACCTTCACTGGCAGAACAAAATTTGACACACAAACCAAATTCCTGTTAAGGGAAAATTATTTTCATTGTAAACAAATGTAAACTTGGGTTGAATTTCAAGATATATGGTTCTCTGAGAGATTACTAGAAAGGGATGCTTACACAATATCTTATTTACAAGAACATACACTATTTTAAACTCAGGCTTGGCAGGCACAACGCTACATGCTGTAGAAATGTAATGCAAACTTTTCACAGAATGCAACCTATTTTCCAAGTTTAAAAGTTAACCAAAAAATTCACAAACAAAAAATCAGGCTTCATAAGCTTGTTGCTTTTTTTGACAGAGAAAACAGAAGTCAATAGTTTGGGCAAATAGATAACATGGTTTAAAAGTAGTTTGGAAAATCCTTTCTTTTTCCTTTCCTCATCTGTTCCTTTTTATACTCAAGGATGGTTAACTTAGTTTCTTAATCTTGTTCATGTTTTTTATAAAACATAAGAATAGTGAAATATGGTAAATGGTATATAGTACATAAACAGAAACTCAAATGACAGATATCTTCCCCTCCCAGTTAGAGGCTTGGTCCTGGAAGAAAATAAATAGTAACAAAAAATTTCATGGAAAACATGTTCCTCTTACAATTTTAACATTTACGTTACAGTATGTGTAGTTCTTAGTATAAAATTTTAAACATTCTTGACTCCTGTACATTATAAATAATGAGTCTTATTTAGTTCAGATCATTGGTAGAATATATAAATAAGGGTTAATTACAAATCTAATGTTTGTTTTGGCATTCTTTTCAAATTTTGAAAACAATATATTAGGTCTTAAATGCTTTATTTTTCAAATCATGAAAATTAAGGCATGAAAGTCATGCACACATTTTAAATAAGGATTTTTTATTTCCTCTTTATACCTTTAAAAGTTAAGATACTTGCCTCAGATTTTTCCCAATGGCAGTATAAAATGAATAACTGCCAACATAAAAGTTATCATTAATAGACAATTTTCATTAAGTTTAAGTTTTGGTTCCATACATTTATTAAACCTTTGATATCTGACTTGCTTTTCTAAAGAAAGTGGTACTAACTGACAAATGAATAAATGAGTAGCTAACGATACTAAATGAAAATCTTAGATACACTAATTATGATTTTATATTGCATTTCTTCATATAGTTACACTTATTGATAATTAAAAATGTCCTAGTGAGCATAACAAAATTGAACATTTCATGATGTTCTCCTACAATCATCACGAATGACTTCCAAGTACTCTACCACCTGAAAAGTCTAAGAATCACTGACTTAGCAACTATTTTGTTTGTGTCTAAATATGCAAATAAAATTCTAAACCACTAACAACTAATCATTCCCATTTTTTTCTAGCCTATCAACATGGTGTCATAGACAGTAAGAGATGAAAATGCACACCCGTCCTAGCTTTTGTATTTCACACTCCAGGGCACATGAATAGATACTATTTATTTCATATGACTATTCTATACAGATTCTTTCTCATTATGCTCAATAACTATTAAATTTACCTACAACACAATTAATTCCCCTGCTGAATGTTGTCTGTGGAGGTAAATTCATATTATGAGTGCACAATTGCTGAAAGATTTGCTAACTTTCTTGGCTTTTTTTAAACCACAGACCAATCGATGACTTTTCCACTTGGTACTTAATTTCTGTATCTTGTAAACAGTGACTAAATAACACTAACATTACCAGATTTATTTTTTCAACAGTTCATCTAACTTTTGTTGATATTATGGCCCAGTCAGATTTTAAGGATAATATGTAGTGGAAAGAGCACTGAACAAGGGGTTCAGGGAACTACATTTCATCCCTGGATCTGTTCCTAAATAAACTGCAAAATGAAGGCAAAGTCTAAGTGTCAATTTCTTCAAAGCAAACTAGGAAAAATAATATCTGTCTCAAAAGGTTGCCACAAGGATGAAAATGAAATGATGTGGGAATTATAAACTATAAAGTATTATTCCACTATATGTTATTACTATTGGGATTTAGAGAATCCCTATATTCTATTATAATATTGCTATTTTAAAAACGTGGTAGACTTTCCTTTGTGCACAAAAACAAGTGAAGTATTTCTGGGCAGAAGTTGTAATAGATAATGCTGCCAAGTAAAGTAACAGGCTGAAACAAACGTTGCTTGGATATTGCTTTTCTGCATTGGCAATTTTCTTTTTAAAATGAAAGAACTTATTAACAAATATGTAAGAGTTTCATTAAAACTAATTTGGTATGTGCCCACACTAAGACAGTCAAAACTTAAAGTTAAAAATATGGCATTTTATGCATAGACAGCCATGCTTCTTCCTTTCAACCACTGCCATTCAAATAATCTTTTCATATTGAAATTATTCATCAAACTGTCAGCTATTTTGTATACAGGCTTAGCTGACTACCAGCAATGATGAACCTAAATTCTAGCTATTAAACCTAATAACCATGAACTGACTGAAATGTTACTCAAACTTCTCATTTTATGCACCTGATTTCAACCTAAATGCTGCCCTTAAGTTGTGTTCTGAAGATCTCTCCTGTATTTGGTATGAACTTCAGACACATCACATACACATAGTAAACTGGCATTCTTCATGAATTCACCCAGAACATCCTGTTTTACAGGTGAATTAGGCTTTCACCAGGAATTAGTACAAGCCATAATGACTAATCTTACATAATGCATTTGTTCAGTTTCTTGTGAAAAGTCAGATTATATATTTCCTTGATGCTAAAATCTTATAAATATTTCTTGCTGCTGTATTTTTTGTGCTTAGCTTAACACAATGCATGCAGTACAACAGTGTCTCTGAGCCTTTACCTAAAAATTAACTCTTAAAGCATGTCAAAGCAAATTAGGATGTTTCATCTTCATTTTTTATTGTTTTCAGCACTGAGTCTTCACCCAAAATTTTACATAGTTCATCGAGTCTCTGTTGCATTTTAGGAATTCCAGCTAGCTGAGATTCTAGCTTTTGTTTTTCTTCACTCAGTGTTAAACGGATTGCAGTATCCAATTGTTCAAAGCGCCAACCTCCTTCACCATCAAACTGTAATAAATGAGTATGGTATTTCCTGCATAATCAAAGTAAAATAATATTAGCCATAATTGTGAAAAGCCATTTTAGTTATAGGTTTACCATTCTCACTGATTTCCAAAAGTAAATTTTAAGTAAGATGCCCATTCTACATTTGATTTTCAAAAATCCTTCAAAAGGTTAAGTTTTGTGATTTTCTTTTACTACGAAAGTCATTCATGTCTAGGAAATTCTATTGCTTATGTTAAATTTATTTCATATTATGAATGTATATGAATTGCAACATGCTGTTGCATCTGTTTAATTTATCTTCATAATACAATATGGCTCCTGCATAAAGGTATCTCAAGAGAATGGGGATAAGAAAAGAAAGCTGAAGGGAAAAAGTAAATTTAAATTCTCAAGTTTGTACAAAAAAAAACAAACAAAAAAAGAAAATATAATACCAATTTGTTAATACACCATCCTTTAGGAATGACTTGCTCTATGTAAGTAAACATTTTTCAATTATTAAAATTTTAAAACATTCTTAGAAAGGAACTCTTTAATACAAATCTTTTAAAAATACTTCTATGCCTCCATATAAATTAATGTCTTTTCTCATGGCTCAGGTTCATAATTAGGAGCTTCAGAGAGGTATAGAGATGATTTTTTTTAAATGAGGCAGCAGACCATTTATCTTCTCCTAAAGGTAGGCTGAGGTCACCAGTCCCTGGGATTTGGGGGGATGAGTGAAGAGAGTAATGCTGGCAGAGTTGGCCTCACACAGCTGAGCCGTTGAACTTTGTCACTATGCTGACATGGCCCATGTTCTCATGTCTCCTGAGTTTTTCTGTCTTTCCCCTATAGTTTTTCTCTTGTCTTATTCCCCTCTAAGCTCTCATCATTATTTACTATTAGTTCATTATTTACTAGGATCAGTGGGCTTATTTTAGTAGCTTTTATGTTTTTTAATTGATATGATTCACATACCATAAAGTTATCCTCTTAAAGCGTAAAGTTAGTGATTCTTAGTATATTCACAAGCTCATGCAACTATTACCACTATCCAATACCAGAATATTTTATTCACCTTCAAAATGAACCTCATACCCATTAGTAGACCTTCCTCATTTCCCCTTCTGCACAGTCCCTACCAATCACTGATCTCCTTTCTCTTTATGGGTTTGCCTATTCTGAACATTTCATATATATGGAATCACATAATATGTGCCTTTTTATGATTGGCTTCCTGTATTTGACAAGACGATTTCAAAATTCATAGAGCAGTAACATGTAAAATACTTCATTAATTTTTATGGTTGAATCACATTCCATTGTATGATATTACATATTTTATCTTTTCATCAACTGATAGACATTTGGGTTTCATCCCATTTTGGTGGGATGGTTTTAACATGCTGTAAGATGAGAAAAATAAGCCAGGTTAAACTATGTCTAAAAGACTAAAATCACTTTCAAGCTCAAGGTTTGAAGTTCAAGTGTTTGATAACACATGACAGTGATTAATGATCTTTTTTATATGCTTTTGATCATCTATTGTATTTAGGTTTTTTAGTTTTTAAACATTTGACCTCCCAACAGGTTGGACCTAACAAAAATTAAATTGAAAAAATGTATTTCTATGTCAAGGAAGAAAATGTGAAAATGCTGCTATTAAAATATGACAGCCAAAACAAAAGTAATAGAAAGACAAAAAGAATGTCATATGAAAAAGAGAAATAATCATAAAAATATAATTTTGTTTATTCCATTCAAACTCTTCTTGGGCCTTGCTAACTTTGGACCCAAGTGTACCACTTTGGTTGGGGAGTCTACAGGGGAGATTATGCATGTATAGGGGCAGAGAGTTCATGGGACACTTCTGTACCTTCTGTACCTTCATGGGTACCTTCTGTACCTAAAATTGCTCTAAAATATAAAGTCTCAAAAACAACAACAATCTATCTGTTCCTTTAATGAGAAAAAATGACTGACTGCTTTTAATGACTCTTTAGATTACTTAAATAAGGAACTAAGTGACGGCGTAGCAAAATGCACCACTGACAGACATCACAAAACACCAGCACTAAGAGGGAACTCCATGTTATTCCAACATGAGATCAATTAGGAAGCATGTCAGTAAATGATGAATTCATATCAGAAAGGGTTCAAGAGACTTTCTGATTTTTTTCTATGGCATTCCTGATTCTTTACAGTTGTGATAATTAGACTACTATACTCCTTACAGTTGTTATGAGGCTTACAGAAAATGAGCCTGGAACAGAATAGGTGCTGAATCTCCATTAGTAACTATTATGATGATGAAATCAAGGGACAAGTATAGGGATTTTAGACATGGCATTATTTTTTTAAAATTTATTTATTTTTAAAGATTTAATTTATTTGTTTTTAGACAGAAGGGAGGGAGGGAGACAGAGAGGGAGAGAAACACCGATGTAAGAGAGAAACATCAATGAGTTGCTTCTCATATGTGCCCCAACCAGGGACCGAACCCGCAACTCAAGCATGTGCCCTGACTGGGAATTCAACTGGTGCCCTTAGAGTTTCTGGATGACACCCAACCAACTGAGCCACACTAGTTAGGACAAAATGGCATTATTTTTTAAAAAATGGGACATCCCATTAGGTTTTTATGAGATACTATTTATAAAACATTTTCATTCACTTTACCTTAAAAAATAAACCAAAAAAAGCTTTTTTTCTCCTGTGTTTCTTTCAACTTATTTGAGGCAATATCTAGTTTGGTATTTTCCTGGATTTTGAAAAACAAACTAAAAGGATGATATAAACTCATGTAAATATAGGGGTGGACAAAAGTAGGTTTATAACTGCTTGTATGGAAATGGACAACAGTGTGGGGATTGACTGTGGGAGTGGGGGGTGGGTTAAGCAGAGGGGGGCAAAGGGCAAAAATCTTGTGATAACTATAATAGAACAACAATAATTTTTTTAAAAAAGAAACATATGCAGGTTGTGATTATTAAATAGGTTTATTAACTCAAAAGGATAAACTGTGTTTCATGTACTTACAACTGTAAACCTACTTTTGCCCACCTTTGTATATTCTTTCCCAGTATATGCTATAGAGTTACAAATAGTTTCAGTATAAGAAAGTCATCAAGTTTTTCTACTTCTTTTAGGGATTACTGGAATGTGGTGATAGTTTTTAAACAGCACATTAATGCTAAGTTTGGGGTATTACTAATGTCAACTTAATGAAATACAGGTAGAAAATAGTAAAATGTCTTATGCTACATAGTCTAAAGTTTAGAAAAGTTATTCTTTAAGAAACATAAGGAAAACTTTCTATCACAAATTTGCATGGGAAAGACTTACCAAAGAGAAGGCCTGTGTGTTATAGATAGTAAGGAAATTCCGGCTGCCTTTGCAGCCTGAAATATCTTCCCTTCGACATCAATGCTGACAGCACTGGTACATTCATCCAGTAATGCATATTTTGGTCTTTAAAAAATAAACACAAATATATCAATGATTTTCCTATTTGAATGATATGTCCTTATTTGAACAACATGAATTGTGATGTTAACTTTAAAGGAGCAAAAGAGTCTGTGACATTTATTAAAGGTGGTAAATGATAAAACAAAAGAGCAGTTATTCCCCCTTTTTGGACTAGAATATGATATTTTTCTTACATTTTAAGTAGATTTTCTGAAGCCTGCCCACAATACAATAAGCTTTGTTGTTGTGCAGAATCATAAATATGAGGCATAGGAAAGGTAAGGCCAGTCACTGCGGGCACTTCCTGCAGAAGGCACGTTCATTCTTGGTGACGAGGTTCTGGCTAATTACATGAAAAATACATTACGGTAGCTAATTATCAAACAAGCCATTAGCTAATTATCTAACAAACAGTGTTGTTAGAAAGAGATTTACTAAGAAGAGAATTTTATCAACAATGTGGATACCTAATCCCTATTAATGGAACTCACTGCTGTAAGATTCTGCAAAAGCATGCTTACTCTGACAAGGCTAGAAAGGTATTTAACGTGGTAACACTGTGACCATGCCTCACAATCAGATTCTTAGGGAAAAGTACCAGAAAATATTTTTCTGATTGTACTGAACAGTTTTGACTTTCTAGCTCAGTTTTTACTCTGGAAGTGACTTTCTACTTCCACAGAGGTACCTATTACTCGCCACCATTTCCTTCTGTTTAGCCTCTTCCTTTCTTTTTACCCCCACTTTTATAGTTCTTTTTCCTTTACCTGTCTTCTTTCAAGGTCTGGACTGTAGGTATGTATTTGGTATTCAGCAATATGTGATTTAGCTTTGTTAATAGGACCAAAGGTCAATTTATGTGCTGTTATTTATTATTTACTTCAGGGCTGAAAAGCAGTATCAAGTATTTACCAGGACATTTTCCACCATGAAGATAATTAGTTTTTTTTTTAAATAAATGACAATGAAAAGATACATATTGAAGCCACTGGTAATTTCTCATTCTGCATAAACAATTACTTAGCATTGTAAGTAGCTTTTCTATGATAGATTTGCTTTTTAATAAGGTCCTGTTACCTATTTGGGGCTGGGGTGGGGGTGGGAGGTGGGGAGTAGTGAAGGCTAATGGATCCTGGAGTCAAGTCACCTTTAAGACCCTATTAGACTTTAATAACTGCTCTCTGAGCAAAGAACCAAAAGGTCACTGCAGGTTCCTTATGACATTGACAGATGCAGTTTTGCTGCTTGGCTTTTGGTTACTGTTCTGGTTTAATATTAAGCGTTACTTCTTTGTCTCAGAGTTGATCACTGCTTTATGGATAATTTATTTTTAAGTGGAAGAGAGGAAACAGAAAAAGAAGTGTAAGAGAGAGTGTTGGCTTCCAGTTATAAAATAAGTCATGAGGATGTAATGGACGGCATGAGGAGGAAAGTTGATAGCATCGTAGTAACTATGTGTGTTGACAGATGGTTATTAGGCTTGTTGTTTTGATCACTTTGTAAGGTATATGAGTATTAAATCACTATGTTGTAAACCTGAAACTAATATAATACTATGTGTAGATTATATTTTAAAAATAAATTAATTTTTAAAAAGAATTAATGAAATTAAAAAAGAGAGGTTTGGACAAAAATTTTTTTTGTAAATCTCTCTAGTGATTAGGTTATATATTATATCATTTCTAATTTTTCAGAATGCTTTGAGCTAAACAGAGAAGATGCCATTTTAGAATGAGAAAGAAGTATGTATCTCACACTCTGTTGTCATAGCAACCCCTAGTCTAGCAGATGTAAGACAAATTGCACACTTTTGTTTCCTTGGCATGATGGGTGTGTGTATGTGTACTTAAATATAGTAGGCAATAGCTGGAATCTGGGACTGATAAAACTAAATAAAACGTTACATAATATGGCTTCTCAGATTTTCCTTCCTCTTTCTTTTGGTCTATCACCAGACAAGTGAGCCTTCTAGAAGATGTAGTCTATCCCTGTTAAGACAGGACTACACTGATCATTCTTTTAACATTAAAAAGCCTCTCAAAAAGAGTATACAATTGTGATACATAATAGTTTCTGCCAAAGCTGTCCATTTTAGCAAGCTCAAGTCTTCCATTTTGCAATTCAAATCTTTTTATTAGTCCTTTAAGGATGAAGGGAGGCAGTTTCTCATTATACTTTGCCTTCACTGGGTTTAATATTTCCATTTAATTTTATTTTTCTCAATAGATTCTTCTTTTCAACAACTTCATCATCTTCATGATCACTAAATTTTCTTTCTGCTGGTGTACTTGTATCTTTATTCAATCTTACATTATATCCAAAATATTATAGATACACAAGTATCAACTATTTATTTCAAGTTATGGGTACCTGAAATCTCTTTGGGTTGGCATCTTTCATTAAGGCCTCCTGGTCTTTATTACACAGTTTATTTTATTAACAAACTGATGCGGTGAGAAATTTGTGGTCACATTTTACATTCCATCATATTGCATTTCACCAACTATGCTGGTGATCATATTACTGAATATTTATGGACAGGGCTCAGAAAGATTCAGGGTGATGATAGCGGGTAACAGCTGGTTATAAATGTCAAACCATAAAGTTTACACCTGAATCTTATCACACCATCTGAGAAAGGGGTATTACAAAATACACTTCACTGAAAATTCTAAGTTAGCAAATTTTGGTTCATATTTTTTTGTTTGCTATATTCTTAAACTTACCACGTACATTATTACAAATGCCATGCTATTCACACAGTAATTTTTCCCATCAAAAATTCCAGCTAGACACAAAGTTAATACATACTGTCTGATTTAATTTATATGAAGTTGTAAGACAGAAAGAACTAATTTATGATGATAGAAATCAAAACAGAAATTATCTATGGAGGGATCTGATTGGAAATGGGAATGAGGGACTTTCTAGGGTGATAGAGAAGTTATCTGAACTGAGGGATTGGCTACATAATGTATTATACATTTAGTGGAAGTCATTGAATTGTATACACTTAAAGTCTGTGCATTAGGTATGTAAAAACTTACATTAATAATACTAACTTTTAAAAAGCCCTGGGTAAATATTACATAATAATACACATAAAAGAGAGACATAAATTTTAATATACTTTATGAAAATAGTTACATTAAAAAATCAAGATGATGATCAACTTTTGTGTAGCAAGACTGAGAAGAAACTATTCCAAGATTTTAAGTGCTATAGTTAATAGCAGATTTTTTCTTTTTTTATTGATCTAAATTTTCTACTTTTATGAAATCAATGTATAATTATATTTTAATGGGCTGGTTTAAATGCTATGTGCTTTTTTCAATGATAAACTCAGAATATGAACCAGGTATTTGATGACTTTAAATAATTAATATCAACTTTATTAGGTACAATTATTGTACAGTATTATATAAGAAAATGTCCTAACAGTTCAGAGATTGATGCCAAAGTATAAGGGAAAAAATGAGGACATTGTGATGAGGACACCTAAAGATGAGGACATTGTGATGAGAAACACAATGTTTGGGATTCACTTTAGAATGTTTAAAAAAATAGATAAATTAAATGTGGCAGAATGTTAGACTTACTGAATCAGTATGATGGGAATATGGAGTTTATCTTAAAATTTCCTCTTGTTTTTTTAGGTTTTGATGTTTCTCCACAATAAAAAGTTTTTCTTTTTTTTAATAATGGTAACCAACTAGCTACCAAATGAGGGCCAACTATGTGCTAAGTGTTTAGTGAGGCTTATTTGATATATTTTACTCTCTTAGCAGCTTTTTAAAGTTCCCTGCAAAAGTATTAATGCTTCCACTGTAACTGCTTCAGGAGCATTGTATCTGCCCTAGTTTATGGTCCATTCATGCATTCATGGATGTGATTCTCAGTCCTTTTTGACTAAGACATAAGTACTAAAAGTGAGTAACACTTTTCTGAAAACTCCCTGCTCTGCATTCCACTCAGGTTCTCATTGCCAGAAGCCTAAGATAAAAAAGGGGGGTGTGGAGAGCAAGAGAGATTGATTTTTTTCAGAGAAGGCTGGGAGAGACAAGAGGAATAAATCAGAACAGCTTTTCTTTTTCTTTCTAATGTCCTGTGCCTGGTATCGTTCAACTCCAAAGGTTATGAATCTGAAGCTCGTTACAAAGAAAAAAGTTTTATCAAGAGAGATGATTCTCTGAACCCCTCTTTATCTGAGTCCATTAAGACCTATGCTAGCTAGCACCCTTTTCCATTGGCTATGTCTCTGATTTTTGAGGAGGTGCAGCAAACTAAACTTATTAGTCTGCTGCGTGGTTGAAAAGGTAATTTAGTTTGAATTTAACAATTTAATTCAGAATGTGTAGCTACTGTGTTCACAACACTAAGATAATGGTTATGTATTCCCAATTTAAAATGAACACTAATCCTACTTTCAAACTTAGAATACATAAAAATTTAATTTTGTCATCTAACATCAGTCACATAAAAGAAATAGAAAAAAGACTTGGAAATTTCTGTCACATTACAAAAACAACTTAACAATGTTTAACTGTAAAGGCTAAGTGTTCACTTTTCAGTAAGATGTTTCTGACCTAAAGATGAGGACACAGAATCTTGTCAAAGGGTCTTGGGTCACAACAGTGAGGTTGTAGTTTCCTGAGAACAGCGCACTTACTTATGGTAAAACATGCGAGCCATGCCCATTCTCTGCTTCTCCCCTCCTGATAGGACATCTTTCCAGTCCAAAACAGCATCCCAACCTTAAAAAATATAAAGATACATATTTTATAAAGCATTTGTTTAATTGTTACAGTTTTTACAATTTGGACAAGTGACTTTGGCAAGTTTGAGTGATTTACACAAAGAACCAGGTATTTTACAGAACGTATGCTTGGATAAACTAGAGAGCCTCGTGTATAAGCATATTGTTTTAGATATGCTATTTTGTAATGGTAATACCTTTGACTGACAAGTCATCTTCTAAGAATCCTAAATGCTGACACACAATTTGTTTCAGAATATCTCTAAAGGGTTGATGTAGTTATACTAATTTTGCAGGCTTTGCAGGGAAAGACCAACAGACTTGCAGAGTCCTATTGAAAGTCTTCAAAGGGTAAGACAGGAACTAACTTAAATGGCTCCCATGTGCTATTTAAGTGTATGAGTTTCCTCATTATATATTCTGCAACCACATGAAGTAGATATTATTAGTTGCATTTTATAGATGGATAAACCGAAACTCATGGAAAAATTGACATGTCTAATTTTACACAGCTAGATATCAGAGTTGTGACTTATATGTAGATCTGTCTTCATGCTTTTACAGTTTATTTATACCATCTCTTACAGCTCTTAATTACTGACTGTTGGATATTCCAAAACCAATGCTCTATTTTTAAAAAATAGGTCAGATCTATATATACTAATATAGAAATGTCTCCAGAATATATTTTATATGAAAAACTTAAATTGCAGAATTGTGTGTGTCATTTTCCTTCTAGGAAATTTCTATCTATTTAAAACCATATCCTTATTATTTTATATTAGGAAACAAACCTCAAAATGCCATCTGTTTGAAGTTCTTGCATCTAGTGAAAACTACTGAAATAACATTTTTCTTTATGGCTGAATTACATGGCATTTATGAAACATAAATGAGGATTTGAAAAATAAGCTCAGATTTCTACACGGTAGGGAAATATTCTGGGCTTATAAGAAATCCCCCCTTCCAATTGAGAAGACAAGAAAAAAGTATTTGGGTTGAAGAAAATTTTGGCTTTACATATTAAAATAAATCATGTCCTTTGTTTCACTAAATCCAAAGGTTTTAGTAGGCAATACTGCTTAATCTCAGAACCTAAATCAGAACCCTAAGTCATATTATTACCTCTGATGTGCTGAGTGAAGGAGACTTAGCTGAAAAGAGAATGGTTTTCCTGCATCCTAGAGATGCACAAACTGATTTGGTTCATGACCATTTGTTAACACTTGTACTTTCTACTTTGTAACCTCTTTGATGGGATGAAACATAGCTTTTAATTCCATCTTTTAGCAAAGCATTTCTCTAAGAAAAATATTAGGTAGTCTAAACAGAACTCCAGCAGGCTTCTTCTGAAGTAAGTGATGACCTTGCAAATGGAAGTGCTTTCTTGCTTCACTTAAAAACATATCACATATTTTAAGGATTAAGCAAGTAATGTGTGTTTCCTTGGAATTTTTTGATGTGTCAGGATATAACAATTCTTACTAGTGTCCAGGAAGCCAGGGGATAACATAGCACAGTGTCCCAGCACAGTACAGAACATTGCTTTCAAGTAAGGTCTGTGTTTGAATCCCTGCCTCACCACTTGCTATAGGCCCCTGGGGAATGTATCGAACTTCAGAATTTCACCAGTGTATAAAGGTTAGTAAAACCCACATCATTGGGAAGTTATAAATATTAAATAAGTTGACAATGTAAATTGCTTCATGTTATATTCTGCATAGTAAGCACTCAATAACTGTAACAATTACTATTACTATTATTAAAGTTGGAACATCTTTTAAGCAGTTCTAGAACTTCTTGCTGACTTCTGAAAAATAAAATATCCCACATTTATCAAACACTTCTGCTTGGATCATTGGGCATCAGACTTACCCAAAATAACTTACCCAAGACTAACAGGCAGCATACACTGTGGCGGTGTTTTAAAATGGGGAAGGAGCTGACCATGTGAAACAAAGACAACCCCCTTTCCACATCTGTAGCTTTTATACATAATGGTGTTACAAACCCCATGAAAACAAATATAGTAGCACCGCCCTTGTCTGCATTTGCTTTTTGTAAGGATCAAATAAATTAATATATGTGAAAATTCTATGTAAAATATCAAATATCACCCAAAGGCAAAATACTACAGTATCGATATTACAACTAGTAAATAGTACCATTAGCTACTAATCCTTGTGCATTTACTATGTGTCACTGCTCTAAATGCTTTACACAGTTTTATTTAATCTTCTCAGAATCCTTATAATGTAGATATTTATCCTCATTTTACAGTTGAAGATAAGAGAACAGTACTAATTAAGATTTAATAACAGAACTTTGACTTCAAAGCTTATATGCTTAGTTACTATACTACATTGCTTCTTCTGATAATGTAAAAGCATTAGGAATAGAACATAAAATCCATTCAAAATGAAATGTAGAATTCAAGCTTATTTTTTCAGGGCTATCAAATTATATGTTATCAAGTTATTTGAAAAGATGACTTTTCTAAAGCAATTCTTTTTAAGCTCATATGTTTGCAATTATTATTCCTATTCTTCCAAAAATATCTTATGCTGAAAAATCACAGTACAGAAGTTTCCATATTTTATCTAATTCTCTATATGCTGCTTAAGAGAGAAAAAAATGTATTGGTAAAACCTTGGGTCTCAAAACAAAAAAGTAGTTCTGTGACAATTATCTCTCAGATTATTAAGTTTAATGTAAGCTGAGAACTCATAGGAAAATATTTCTGTCATAAACTTTATACATATCTAGATCAACAATGGCCTCAGGGACACTGTACATTCAAATACAAAAAAATAACTATAATAAAATGCCAGCAGCAGACTTAATAAAAAGCCCTGTGAGCTGCATGAAATATAGCACAAACAGAAAAGAGAATGTCAGTAATGGGAAAGCAGTAAAAGCTGTAAACTCCATCTTTCCTTGTGTGCTTATGTTCCAATAATAGCATATATTCAAGTTAAACCACGGAGAATTTACCCATTTATTTTTAAAAACCTACGTTAAATGCATTAAAAAAGGAATGATGGAGCTTACCTCCTTCTCTTTGAACTATGTGATAGAGGTGGACATTGTGTAGGATACATTCCAGGTCATGGTCTGTGTAGCCTTTATCATGCATGTCATCCACTGAATCAGGATAGATGACTTGATCCCGAAGACTTCCAAGTGACATGTATGGCCTATAAAATACCAAGCACATAAGAACTTGCAGTACAAAGTCATTTCAGTTTAGTCAGTGTGACATCTTGGCGGACTGAAACTCCACAGTGGACTTTAAATACCACATGTCTAGGATTACCTATTTTGCCTAGTGATGAGTATTTTCCTCTCAGGTATTGTGGGATAATATACTGTTGTGTTTATGTAAAGATTTACTGAAAAATTTAGGATTTCGACCCAGCAATGTGAACAAACAAAACGTTTTTTAAAATGCCACTCATAATAAGAGAAATACAAATTAGAACTACCCTGAGTTTCATGCTTGATTGGCAGAGGGTCAACGCCTGACAATTCATTCCAGCCCATGGAGAAATAGGTACTCTCATATAACAGTGAAAGTGTAAAATGGTACAGCCCTTTGGAGGGGATTAGGCAAACCAATATATCACTTGGCGTTTGACACCCTTCTAAGAATTTAAAGATATACTTCCAAAAATACTAACAGCAACAATAACAAAAAGTTCATAAGGTTATCCATTGGAGTATTATTTGTAATTGCAAAATATTGGAAACAACCTAAATGCTCATACAAAGTGGGTAAAGCGAGTAAGCTATAATACCTATCCCATGTAGTTATAAAAGAGGATGTAGAAATCTCTGAATTGATATAGAGTGATTTCCATAAAATATTATTACGTTGAAAAAATCCTGCAAAAATAGATGTGCAGCAGGGTTTCTCAATGGTGGCATTATGGATGTATTAAACTGCCTAATTCTTTGTTGTCGAAGGCCATCCTGTGTATTGTAGGATGTCTGGAAGCATACCTGGTCTCTACTCATTAGATGCTAGCAGCATCACTATAGTAGTGACCAAAAAAAAAATCTCCAGATATTGTTCCCTGGGGGCCAGAACTATCCCCATCTGAGAAAAACTGACCTATACAGTCATCCCTGGTATCTGCAGGGGACTGGTTCCCAGACCCCCATGGGTATCAATCCTCAGATGGGTAGGCCCCTTATATAGTGGCATAGAATTTGCATATAACCTACAAACATTCTCCTGTATATCTTAGATCATCTCCTGATTACTTGAAATTCTTAATATTACAACCTAAATGGTATATAAATAGTTGTTATACTGTGTTGTTTAGAAAATAATTACAAGGAAAAAACGTACATGTTCAGTACCGATGCAAGCATAACAACAAAGTACCCATAAGCAACAACATAACAACATAACTTTTTTTTTTTTACAACATAACATTTTTAAAAATCTTTTTGATCCATGGTTGGAGAATCTGCAGGTGTGGAACCTGCAGGTACAGATGGCTGACTGCAGTGTACTACTTTTATGTAAAATAAAAGCAAAATAAGAAAATATGTACTTATCTGCTTATATTTACTAAAGAAAATGCAGTACACCAAGTTTTTGGTTACAGCAGATCTTGGGAACTAATACAGATAATATCCACGCAAAAACTGTATAACCTGAATCAAATCATGAGGAAACCATTAGAAAAACTGTGGGTGAGGGAATTCCTTAAAAAATAAAAATAAAAACAACAATAGCAGTCCTGTACTGTTACAAACATCAATGATATAAAACACAAAGAAAGGCTGAGGAACTCTTTTATACTAAAAGAAACTGGAGTGACATGGCAACTCAAAATGTAACATATGATGCTGATTCGAGAAAAACAAGTTATTATGAAGAATTGTGTTATGAGAATTGGCAAAATTTGAATATGTGAGGTTGTTGGAGGAGGTCATCCAGAGGAAATGACCACTGGTTGACCCATGAGCTAGACTAGGGCCAATCAGAGGCTCCTCACTCCCTCTGCTGCCCTTGAAGTGCCTGATTGCTCTGCCCACGGGTCCCAGCTGGAGCTCTCTTCAAGGACCCGGACTTGAGAGAACAATGTGTTGTTGAGCCCATCTGGATGGTATACATGACTGAAGCCAGTTAAGACCTCAGCATAAACTCTTAGGATTCTGTTGGGCAGGGGCAGAGGTTTACTTATCTTACAGCTGCCCAAGACAATACTTGTATGTAAGTGTCCTTGCTTATTAAAACAGCTACCTACCAGTCTGGAGTGGTCTGCCTCTTCTTTCCATCTCTCCTTGCCCTCTCTGCAGGGGGCCAGTTTGCAAATTGTTACCAACAAAAGTGTGTTCAGATAATAATATTATGGCAATGTTAATTTTCATAAATTTGATCTTTGTATTATGGTGGTAATGTTAGAGACTACTCTTGCTTTTTGAAAATATAGCCCAAAGTGGTTAAGGGTGAAGATTTATGATTATTGAACTTAAGAAAAGTGTGTTGTGTGTGTGTGTATGTGTGTGCATGAGAGAGAGAGAGAGAGAGAGAGTTGAAGAGTTTAACTATTACAAAATGTGTTTTGTAGGCCAATTGCTACCTATTTCCCATAATATGCAAATGATTTAGTTGAAGAATAGATAGCACAAAGTTATTTTTGTAACAAACTTAACTAATATATGAAAATAAAAATACTTATATATTTATTTCAAAAATATAACCACAGATTCCTATTTATAAAGGCCAATAAAAAATCTTACCATATGAATGTACATATGTACAATGGAAGTATAATCCACACACCATAAACTTTACCCTTTTAAACTGTACAATTAAGTGACTTTTAGTATACTCACAAATTCATGCAACCATCACCATTGTCTAATGTTAGAATATTTTTTTACCCCCTAAAGAAACTCCATAGTCAACAGCAGTCCCTCCCTGTTCTTTCCTCCTCCCAGCCCCTAGCAACTACTAGTATACTTTCTGTCTCCATGAATTGCTTATTCTGGACATTTAATATATATAGTATTATACAATATGTGGTCTTTTGTGAAGGTCTTTTTTCTGTTACCATGTTTTCAGGTTAACCCATAATGCATTGTATAACAGTATTCCATTCCTTTTATGGCTGAATGATAGTCTATTATATGCATTGCCATATTTTATTAATCTGTTCATCCACTGACGGATATTCCAGTTGTTTCCACTATTTGGCTAGTATGAATAGTGGACATACAGTGAGGAGTGAAATTGCTAGTGCATGTGGTAACTAGCCTAACCTTTTGCAGAATTGCCCAACTGTTTTCCAAAGTAGCGACACATTTTCTGGTCACGTTTCTTGTATAAAATCCTCATGTCTTCCCTTCCTACCCTCTTCTTTATCCTTTCCTCCCCAGTCTAACCATATATTTTTTAAACACAATGAGGACACAGAATTATTTGTTTATTTACATAATCTTAAGCATATATATATAATGTGACAATATCTTAAATTAATATCTGATAATAATAACAGTAGTATAAAATAAAAATTTGCCTCCAGGGCCAATAAATAGTTTTTTAGTTAGTACACTAAAAAGTTTCTGAAAACAAATGAAAATGAACACACAACATTCTAAAACCTAAGGGACACAGTGAAGGCAATCTTGAGAGGGAAGTTCATAGCAATAAAGACCTACCTAAAAAAGATAGAAACATTTCAAATAAACAACCTAATCCTACATCTACAAGAACTTGAAAAACAACAAACAAAGCCAAGAGCAAGTAGAAGGAAGGAAATAACCAAGATTAGAGCAGAATTAAATGACATAGAGTCTAAAAGAACAAAAAGGATCAATAAATCCAGGAGCTGGTTCTTTGAAAAGATAAACAAAATCTACAAGCCTTTAAGCAGACTCATCAAGAAAAAAAACAGAGAGGACCCAAATAAACACAATCAGAAATGAAAGAGGAGAAATTACAACTGATACCACAGAAATACAAAGGATTATAATAAATTACTATGAGCAACTATATGCCAAGAAATTTGAAAACCTGGGTGAAATGGACAAATTTCTAGAAACATATAATCTTCCAAAACTGAATCAAGAAGAAGCAGAAAGTCAAATGAACTGATAACAGCTGGTGAAATTGAAGCAGTAATAAAAAAAACTCCCATTACACAAAAGCCCTGGACTGGATGGTTTCACAGAATTTCACAAAACATTTAAGGAAGAGCTAACCCCTATCCTTCACAGACTATTCCAAGAAATCCAAGAAGAGAGAAGACTAAACTCTTTTTATGAGGCCAGCATACTAATCACAAAACCAGATAAAGACATAACAACAAAAGAAAACTTTCCATCAGCCAATATTGCTGATGAACATAGATGCAAAAATTCTCAATAAAATATTGGCAAACTGCATCCAGCAATATGCTAAAAAGATCATACACTATGATGAAGTGGGATTCATCCCAGGAATGTAAGGATGGTACAATATTCGCAAATCAATAAACGTAATACATCACGTCAACAAAAGACAAAAATCACATGATCATATCAATAGATGCGGAAAAAGCATTTGGTAAGGTACAGCACCCATTTATGATAACAAACTCAGCAAAGTGGGAATAGAGGGGGCATTCCTAAACATAATAAAAGCCATATATGAGAGACCTACAGCCAATATCATACTCAACAGGCAAAAACTAAAAGCCTTTCCACTAAGATCAGGAACAAGACAAGGATGTCCACTTTCCCCACTTCTGTTCAACATAGTATTGCAAGTCCTAGACAAACAATCAGACAAGAAGAAATAAAAGGCATCCAAATTGGAAAGGAGGAAGTAAAACTGTCATTGTTTGCAGAGACATGACAGTGTACACAGAAAACCCTACAGACCCCACCAAATAACTGCTCAACCTAATAAGTGAGTTTGGCAAATCAGCAGGATATGAAGTCAATACTCAGAAATCAAAGGCATTTTTGTACACCAACAATGAAATATCAGAAACAGAAATCAGGAAAAAAATACCATTTGCTATAGCAACAAGAAAATAAGAATCTAGGAATAAACCTAACCAAGGAGGTAAAAGACCTGTACTCAGAAAACTATATAACACTGAAGAAAGAAATTAAGGAAGGCACAAATAAATGGAAGCATATACTGTGTTCATGGAATGGAAAAATTAACATCATCAAAATGTTCGTACTTCTC